CTGCATGATTGGTTCCCGTTAACTTTTAAATACCTCAATCCCAAGTTTGACTCAAAATAGGTTTTATGATATGTCCTAAATTTCCGACTAAAATACCGGTTTTTAATTTTGGACAGTATAAGGATTGCAATATTTTCCCGGATTTAGAACCTTTTTAGGATACATTTTGCAATCTATGCCAGTAATTTACGACGTATTTTAGGATTTTGTAGGACAGTTAGGACAGGATTAGTACAGAAAATTCGACACCGACAACAACCGCAAGGTTTTCAACTGGAAGGTATCAATTTGGAGATCGAACGTGGGGATCTAGTGATGGTGGTCGGTAGAGTTGCAGCTGGTAAGTCCAGTCTCGTCAACGCCATTCTAGGAGAAATGCCACGAATCTCTGGTGTACTCGAGGTCGAAGGGCGAGTAGCTTGTGTCAGTCAAGACACCTGGATCCGCAACGCAACTCTGCGTGACAACATTCTCTTCGAACAAGAATACGACTCTGAACGCTATGCACAGGTCCTGGAGGCATCACAGCTGTCAATGGACTTGAGCGCTCTACCCAACGTAGACGCGACGGAGATTGGTGAGCGTGGCATCAACTTGAGTGGTGGTCAGAAGGCTCGAGTGGCTATCGCTCGTGCGATGTACCGGGCAGGGACGGACGTATTGATTCTGGATGATCCGTTGAGTGCTGTGGACCCGCACGTAGCTCACGCGATTTTCAACAAATGTATCGTCGGTATGGCACGTGACCAGACTCGGTTGTTGGTGCTGAATAGCCACTACGACTTGTTACCGAAAGCTGATCATGTTGTGGTGATGCGTGATGGTGTGGTGGCTTATCAGGGGCCCCTATCACGATGTTTTGGTGCAGTTCCCGCAGCTTACAATGGACTTGGTTAGTATCAGCGTCGATAGCAATAACAAGGAGCTGGCCAGCGCCCCAGAATGCATCGAGACACTGTCGCCAAGCGAAGATAAGCCCGTAGAAAGCAACCCACAGAACCAACTGTGGCTACGAGATAGAGCGTGACGACGAAAATAATGAGAACTGACAGCAAGTCAAGCCGAGTGGCTAACCAGCGACTGGCAGCCCAGTACGTGAAGTACATGTTTGAGTTGGCATCAACTACACGTCGGTTCAACTCGATGAAGTTGTCTCTCATGCAGAAGGCGCGAATCGTAGCGAGACCGGATAAAGTCTCGCTAAAGAGATTGTACACGGGCGTTCGGGTGACGCCTTCCAGTCGCTTGATCTCACTCGATGTCTTCTTGAAGTACTGTCCGATGAAAAGAAACATAGCGAAGATCGGGATGTACGTCAAGGCAATCCAGTACGAAGCCAATGCCGAGACGGCGAGCGCTCCGAAGGCCAAAGACACATTCTGGAGCAGTAGTTGGTACTCTTGGGGAAGCATAGTATCCATTTGATCCAAGTCGTTCGAGAAGCGGTTCAGGATCTGACCCATTGGAGTCACGTCAAAGTATTGCGTCACTGGAGCCTTCAAAACGCGTCGGAACAGCTCGTCGTGCATATTTTGCGACGAGCGAACACACGACTCGATAATCGTCAGCGCTCGGCCGAAGGAGAGCACAGAACAGAGTGCGAGAAACCCGAGATACCACATGCCGAATGTAGTATTTGAGTACGTTGGGTCCACACCCCGGCGTGGCATGTTTCGCGCCCAATGACCAGGCCACCAGTCGACAACCGTGCGTGCTGCTTGACCTGCAATGTAAGCGACGACGATGACGACGATGACGACGATACCGTTAAACCCCGTCTCGTCGAAGTACGTCTTGTACACGCGGCCACTCACTTTGCCCTTCACACGATCCTCAGCACGGATAAGCCGCCCAGACGCCTTTTTGTCCTTCTCATCGGTCTCTAGACTTGCGACTGGACTCGTTAACGTCTGGACTCTCGCTCACATATTCGCTGATGTTGACATCGATGGTGCAGTGGGTCATGCGCTCGGTGGATCGAACCGACAACGCAATGACACGTGTGGAGCGCCTATTGTTCTTTCGTCAGATTGAGGGCGAGACTGACACGGGCAAAACGATTGAAGAGCTGCTCACGGACGAGAAACAGGTGACAGGAGCAGCCCCTCGGTCGTGGCCGTCACGCGGTTCGATTCGATTCGACCAGCTGTGTCTTCGGTACCGACCTGAACTCCCGCTTGTCCTTAAAGGTGTTGACATGGACGTCGCTGCCGGTGAGAAGGTCGGTATCTGTGGACGTACCGGTGCTGGGAAGTCTTCACTTATGGTCGCGTTGTTCCGTATCTGCGACTTCGACAGCGGACGTGTGTTCATCGACGACGTTGATATCGCTACTATCAACCTGCGTGAACTTCGACGAAGCCTCGCTATCATTCCTCAGGACCCTGTGCTCTTCAGTGGACCGCTTCGTGAAAACCTCGACCCATTCCACGAATACTCGGACGAGCGTATCTGGAACGTACTCAAGCAGGTTCACATGGCTGACAGTCTGCGTCGCTGGGGTGCGGGTCTGGACTTTGAGGTGGCTGAAGGTGGAGACAACCTGTCGGTGGGTCAACGTCAACTCATCTGTATCGGTCGTGCACTGCTCAAGGACAGTAAAGTGGTGGTGCTGGACGAGGCCACAGCCAATGTGGATACAGTCACGGACGCACTCATCCAGACGACCATCAAGGAGACCTTTGAGGACAAGACGGTGCTGATCATCGCACACCGAATCAACACGATCATGCACTGCGACAAGATCGCCGTGATGGACGCAGGTCGCGTGGTGGAGTTTGATTCTCCGTCGTTTTTGTTGGCTCAGCCTCACTCAGTGTTTGCAGCGTTGGCAAAGAAATCTGGCACAGCTTAAATAAAGCTACGTCCAGCTGTCGCAATTTAGTAGCCTTAAAAGCGGCTTCTTATGCGCTAATTAAAAAAAGGACGACCTTAGCGTCCAGGTTTCCCAGATTGAAAAAATACTCAGAAATCTGATTCTCCATGGATAGTCCAGCTAGGGAGCCAGGTTTCGCCCAGGTTTCCTTTTAGAGAACGGAATCAGACTTGGTAATTTACATTCGGGAACTTAAATGACCAAATCAGGTATTTTCCAGGTATAAAACCTGGGATACTCATGTGTGCACGACTTAGGCTAAAGTGGAAATGATCGTAGGCAGTCGACGTCGGAACTCACCGCAACCAATCGTTTTCTTCACCGTTTACCCAGGTATTTTACAGGTTTTAAAACCTGGGCAAATCATGTGTGCGCTACTTAGAAAAATTCTAGAGTGATGGCCGCTGCGGTGTGTCGGCGTTCACGCTCATGGTGGCGTACCACGAATGTACCATTATCGACTTCTGCCACATACAGTCATTGTCCAGGTTTTGCCCAAGAATTGACCATGTATTAAAATCGTTAGTGTTTACATGCATGTTGCACTGACGGATATGCACGAATAACTAGCGCGGCCTCAACTTCATGACTGCGTGCAGCATCTCCCACCTCAGCTTCGTAATACCAGCTGGGGACACATCGCTGGGGGATTCGCTGCTCACGCAAGTCCAGAAAAACCGGCACACAAACACACCGCAACTGTCACTGTCCGTTTGCACCGGCTCGGTTACTTCCAAAGCTTTGTAGGAATCGTCACGTAGAGGCCCAGTACGGATTTCTTCAGCCATCTTCTGCAACCGTTTCTTGTTTCTCTTACCGCCCATGCTGTCGTACATCTTGACAACCTTGGTGTCTCGGTCAACCACGAGGCATCCCCAATGCGTGCCACCAAAATTGATAGGAAGAAGCACGAATTGGTGCGAGGCAACACTTTCACCAACTTTGTCGAGCGTGCTTGTAGAGATACGACTTTTGGTGGCCTTTGGTTGGGTTCCATTCTTGGCATCTTTGGCTTTTTTGGGGGGCGGAATGACGACTGTACAATTGTTCTTGTACCGTGCGAGACAAACCGCAAAAGCACGCATGGCATTATCGTTTAGCCAAGCGGAATCTCGAAAGCAAAAGAGATTGTTGTACGTCAGGTCGAATCCGAACCCAACCAGCGGTGTATACGGCCAACACTCCAGTATCTTTCCCATTATAATACCCGCTGAAGCGGAGTCACTGACCGCGAGTTTAACAGTACTATTCAACCAGGTACAGCAAAGAACAGCATTGCGACAAGTATCTTGTAGCCCCCACAAGGATTTCATAGCTTCCAGTTGCTCTCTGGTGAGCTGACCAGCTTTTTCAATTGACACCACGTAACTCTCAATGCTGCCCATTCGTTCACCGTCACTGTCCAACTCAATTTCTTCATCTAGCGCCAATCCGCCCCTCAACTTATCCGACGCATCATCAACAAGCGATTCGACTAGCCGGAATCGCACTCGATCTGGCACGTAATCTCCGTCGACGCGCCACTGAATTGACCTTCCCTCACCATTCTTGTTGACTGG